AAATATATTTAAGATCGCCAGGAATCGAACCCGGATAATAATGCTTAAAAGGCACATGTTCTACCATTAAACTAAGATCTCTAATAACTTTTGAAGAAATACATATACAGAAATATATATATATATACTTCTATGCTAAAGTTATAATTTATAGCTATAAATGTGTATGTTTATAAGCAATACTCTTATTATTAAACCAATATATAGGTATATATAGATATGCACATACATAAATATGTATATATATGTACAAGCATATATATTCTAAACTATAAGGATAATAATAGGTATATGTGTATATATATATGTATAGGTATATGTATAGGCATATGTATAGATATATGTATAGATATATGTATAGATATGTATAGGTATATGTATAGATATGTATAGAGATATAATAATAATGATATGTATAGATATAATGTATATCTATATGTAAATAGCTATATACTTAATTTTTTTTCTTAATTTTTTTTTAGACTTATTACATAGAATCTAAAATGTACTTATAAACATAATTAGTTATATTCTATATAATTTATATCCGAAAAAGGAATCGAACCTTTATGATTATATATCAACGAAGCTTAAGTTCGTCCTGTCTACCAATTCCAGCACTCGGATGTATGAAATTTAAGGCCAGAATGATTTGAACACTCATCAAAGCTATTATGAGCAGCTTGCTTTACCTATTAAGCTATAGCCTTTATTTAAGATATAATTAAAAATAATAAACAAAGATTTATGTTATTTAATATGAGTAAAATTAAGAGTAATTAATATATTATAAAATTTAATAATATGTATTGACTTCTGTTTACTTAAATATAATAAATTTTTTGGCCTCTATTTACTTCATAATAATTTTTTTGCTCTCTATTTACTTAAATATAATAATTTTTTTGATCTCTATTTACTTTATAAAAATTTGTATTTATTTCTATTTACTTAAATATAAGAACTTGTATTGATACCTATTTATTTATCTATAGAATTTGTATTTATTTATAGTAAATATAATAACAAATATATTAAGGTTAATAGATAACATATTAAAGTGACTAGAATATATATTAAGATAACTACATTATGTATTAAGGTAAATAGATAATGTGTTAATATAAATAGAAAATGTTTTAATATAAATAGGGAATGTATTAAGGTGCACAAAAAAAGTATATTAAGGCAATGTATAGCATATTATAATACCAATATAAATCAGTATAATATATATACTTTATATATTAATATACTATATATAATGTAATATACTATATATAGTATAATATATACTATAAATACATTATGTCGTATTAATATGTGTGATATGAATATCTATATATTATTAATATGTTTTTTAGTTAAATACCTAGTATTTGTATTAAAGTTTAATAATTTAAGTAAAAAAATTCTTAAAGTTATTACAATAAAAGATATTCACAGCCCGGTGCAAGTATTGCACTTACTTAAACCGATTACAAAACGGTTGCATTACTTTTATGCTAACTAGGCTTTTATAACGATAAGTATAATAAGTAGTTTATAATAAAATTAGTACTTTATATCTAAGAACATCAAAATTCTTGTAATTAAAGCCTATATATATATTTTCATATAATTTTTAGTAGTATTATGCTACTTATATTTAAGAATATATTAAGGTAAATTTCATGCCTATATGCATTCAGCACTTATTTTAACTAACGTAGCTTTCCTGCCCTGCATACGGTTATTTTTTTTTACTTAAGTAAAAGCAAATATATCTAACAACTGTATAGTTCATATAAGCCTTTTATAGCTATATCTTAAATACTTTCATATATTTTTGTACTTTACAATACAAATCTTATTATATAACAAATC